TTACAACAAGAAAGACAAATACAAACGCTATATTACTAGAAGTCTGTGCAAATTCTACTCAGGTGGTTAAAAATAAAGAATATTCTCACATTTTGGGAAATAAGCTCATTTGCCATCTTGCCTTATGCCTATATCAGAATCAGAATCAGAAACAGGTTTATTGCCAGGTAGGTTCGCACATACTAGGACATTTACTTGATATCATGGTACATAAAATATAAAAAACAAGAAATCTAATATAAAACACAAAATATTTTACACCGTAATAAAATACAGTTAAATAGCAATAAAATAAGAATTAAATAAAGCAGTAATTTACATGGAAATAGAATGCTATGAATGAGTTTTTGCATATAAACTATGAAATGGGAAATCAGAATATGTGCAGAAAGGAGTATGACATAGTGTGCATTAATGTGATGCATATAGTCTATGATGTGGCAGAGCAGAGGTAAAGTGTCAGCGGGGGGGCCGGGCCTTGTTTAAGAGGCCGGTAACGGAGGGGAAGAAACTGTTCAGGTGGCAAGAGGTTTTGGTCCTGATGGAGGACCCCTGCCAGAGGGGTGGGAGAAGGTTTACAAAATGTTCATGTTGTCTATTTAACATGAAGCTGTTACCAGCAGCTAATTAGCTCAGTTTAGCAATAATACAGGAACAGGGGGAAAATGTTTTTCTGGCAAGTTAAAAATAATCTGCCTCCCAGCACCAAGAGCTCAATAGTTAATACTCGAATGAGTAAAAATCGGAGAAGCCAGCAAGAGTGAGTATTTGTTTTGTAATTATCCAACCTGAAAGCCCATGAATTAACAATGAAAGTAGCTAGCAGCAAAAGCAGCAGGCACCCAGTCCTACCAATTATTTATTTTATATATTCAATAATTGATTGACTTATTGTAGTACTGCTGCAACCGTCATCACTGGATTTGCTTTTCACTGGATTTGCTTTTGTAAGTGTATATGATTTAATGTGGATTTCCATTTCAATGGAGATAACAACAAACGTTTCTAATTTCCATTTCCCAGCCAGCTACAACACGTTAAATCTCATTTATTTAATCCCTGCAAAAACCGAAGTGTAAAGACAGAGGTTTAGGGGGATTTTGTGCAAATATAATTCTCGTCTAGGTGCAGCTTATTCCTTTAAGCATATTTTCAGAAGTGTATGCCTGCCCCTAAACATTGTTAATTTCCATAAACTTTTTATATTTGATTAAATAGCACTTGAGAAAGGATTTGTATTGACAGTCTTTCCTTGCTGTTTCAAAACAAACAATCATGGCCTACCTTAAAGAGGCCCTATTCTGCTTTTTATAGGTTTTCCCTTTTCCTGTAGTGTGTTATATTGTTTTGTGTGAATGTTAATGGTCTACAAAGGCTTACATTCTAGAGTTCCCACCAGAGGGAGTTTCCTTCCCACACACTCCCCTCCATTGGACTCCTTTGTTCACTTCTGTAACATAATGACATCAATATGTAACATTCACACTTCTATTGGCTAGCGCTCCTACACATTGTATGTGATAGGCTGATGGGCGGGACATCTGTAAGCGGTTGACCATCAAAGCACTTTCTGTACATCAAAGCATGTAAAAATGTCAAAGTAGAGGCAAAAAATACAATTATGAATTAGTTTGAAACCTGAACATGAGCATACTGCCTCTTTAAAAACAACAACAACAACAACAACAAGGATAGAGTCACTGTGATGTTTGACATGTCTCAAGCTTTATTCAAACCTCTGCAAAACGTTTTTCATAACATGTAAACAGTAATTTGACTAGAAGATACTTGGTCTATTTTGGAAATCCCTTGGCAGCAGTAATGTGGAGTATATAACATAACGTTTTTTATATGGTATTGCCCTTTAAGACAGTGGAAGGAGAAAAAGAAAGAGGATTGATGGGGACAGGCAGGAATCATTAGAGGACAGAACACATGGTCGCAGAGGTTCAGACCCACAGGGAGGACGCTCACAGGAAGAAGAGGGAAGTATTGCTCCTCCCTCTGTAAATGCAAGCCATTTGTCTTCCTTTCATGGAGGATGGGTAAGAGTTATCAAACATTCTCCTTTTTCTCCTCTCTCCATCTGTCATATCTGTCTCGCTACATCTATCATTCTGTGTCACTGACTCCACATGTTGTCCAACTTTTCCTCCACATTTTCACTGTGAGCTCTTTCCACAGTGTGTCTGTTTTCTTATTAGTTCTCATCAGCGTATTCAGCGCTGTTTGTGCTTTAGAAACACTTTGATGCTAAGACGTTTCTGGATAAATGTGTCCGTTTCCCCGACACTAATGCTCCCTTGCAAAGCCGACAGAGCTGAAATGGATGTTTTTTTATTATTGATTAATCTGTCCATTTTCTTTTATTATTCAATCGATCTTTAAGTCTATAACATGTCTAAAAATAGTGAACAAGACTCAGAGTTTAAAGCTATAGCAACTCTGTATAAGGACTGTGTGTCAGGACCTCGACACAAAGTGATGAACCCAAATGCACGACCCAGAGACAAAGTTTTGAATGCAACAAAATGTATTTTAATTCCAATAATCAGGTAATCCCTCTTAACAGAGTAGGTACTGGAATAAACAAAAATCGCTCACACGGAGGAAATAACTAAGCATAACAAAAGGAGAACTTAAGAAAAAACTTAAGCCTACAAAAATCAACAAAATATCATAACCTGACATGAGAGAAAGCAATCCTTTCTGAGCTGAGGCTTGGCACGACCATTCGGGGAAACAAACAAGACAAACTGACACGGGACAGGGGAGAGACAGGACTATTTAAACATGAGCTGAGTGGGAACAGTTGGAAACAATCAGGGGCGGGGCAGACACTGATGATGGCGGGAAAACCATGGAAAACACACAAGGGGAGGAAGAAACAGGGCCTGAAATGAAAGAGGTAAGTACAAAATAAAACAGGAAATGTCAGACAACATACATAAACATAACTAACACATTTGATGAGACACAACACTGTGTACAAATCACAGTATATGGAGGGGTGTTTATTTTCAAGTAGGTTGTCTACATATTTAATCTAAATGATTATTCAGATCGCAAAATGGTGTATTAGTATTCCATCGATTGACTAATAGTCTCTACACCTGGTACAATATTATAATTTTTTTGTTTTTGCCCACCATGCCTCACTTTTTGGTACTAACTACTATAACATTTCTTGAAATAGAAATTGAATTTTGTTGTTTCTACTGTCACAAGTTTACATGATTTTGTCTATCACAACGGGAAAACACACACACACACGCACGCACGCACGCACACACACACACACACACACACACACACACACACACACCCACACA